GGGGGGGGGGGGGCTTGATAATAAGGGTGTATGTAATAACCACACTGTTTTTCTTGTGAAACCTTCATAAGAGTGTGTATCAATGACACCTTATTTTAAAAAATGGAAAAAAGAAATACAGGATTTAAAAAACATATACTGCTCAGAATGTACTATAATTTTTTAAATTATTAAAATGTGAATAAAAATATCATTTACCATTCCAATAAGATGAGTTAAGAGACAAAGTATTGAAACCTGCTTTTCCACACAAGTGATTATATACTCTGATACTCTGGAGCCAAAAAAGCAATTCTCAATAATTTTAGAAAATAATCCAACTAAGTATTTTGTACTTTACACATATACATTTAAAATAAAAGAAATATTTCTTAGATTAAAATACTGTTTAGTATGAAAAGTAAAATTTACAACTGACCTAAACTCTATGTTAAAAGTTTAAAATAAAACCAGTCCTTTAAATGAATTAATAAGAACACCACTTATGTAAAAGATGAGATTTTCAGAGCTTTCTCTTCAATAGTCATTTCCTCCTCTTTTCCTAATCCCACTGCTAACTTGTATACCTATACCAACATGCCAGGAAATATAGGAATACTACATAACTGATTTTTAAGAAAGGGACCAAAATATTTCAGTAAGGAAAGAATAGTCTTTTCAACAAATGGTGATATAAACATTGAGTAGCTATTTGAAAATAATAGAACAAAACCTCGACCTCTCACTCTATAAAAACTAACTCAAAATGTAACAAAGAGCTAAATGTAAAAGATTACTATAAAACTTACAGATGAAAACATGGGAGAAAACCTTTGTGACCTTGGAATGATGATTTCTTAGGTAGGATATAAATTTTGTTAATATTAAAAACTTCTCTGCTTAAAGGACACTGTCAATATAATGAAAAAATCAAGACACAAATTGAATGCAAATATTCCCACTATATATACCTGGCAAAAAAAAACAAAAAACAAAAACTTGTCCAAATTAAAGGAAAAACTTACAAATCTTTACAAGGACCAAAACAAACAACACTCCCCCAAACCCAAGATATGAACAGACACTTCACAAAAGAAGATAGAATGCAAGGTCAATATGAATCTTAGGGGACACAGTGAAGGCAGTGCTAAAGGAGAAATTCATAGTTATAAATGTTTACATTAAAAAAACCAACAATCTAACTTTACAACTTGAGGAACTATAAAAGGAACAAACTATATCCAAAGCTAACAGAAAGAAGGAAATAACAGAGATCCGAGCAGAGATAAACAAAACAGACTAGAACAACAGAAAACGATCAATGAACACAAAAGTTGGTTCTTTATAAAAAGAACAACAAAATTGAAAAACCTTTAGCTAGGAGGATGAAGAAAAGAGATAGAAGAGTAAAAGTACTAAAATCAGAAATGAAAATGGAACCTTTTCTACCAATTCTACAGAAAATAAAGGATTATAAGAGTACTAAGAACTGGACACCGAAGAAACTGAACAATCTACATTAAATGGATAAATTCCTAGAAATATAAAACCTACCAAGACTGAATCATGAAGAAATAGAAAATCTGAAGAGACTATAATTAGCCAGGAGATTAAATCAGTAATAAAAAAACTTAAAACAAAGAAAAGTTGTGGTCCTAATAACTTCACTAGTAAATTCTATCAAACATTTAAAGAAGAACTAATACCAATCCTTCTCAAACATCTTCAAAAAACAGAAGAGGGAACATATCCTAACTCATTCCATGAGACCAGCATAACTCTGATTATTAAAGCCAGACAAAACACTACAAGAGAACTACAGACCAATATCCCTTATGAATATTGATGCAAAAATCCTCAATAAAATGTTACCAAATGAATTCAGCAATGTATTAAAAGGATTATATTATTATGATCAAGGGGGATTTTTCTTCGAATGCAAGGATGGTTCAACATATAAGAATCAATCAATAGAATACTTCACATCAACAAAATGAAGGAAAAAGACCACATGACCAACTCAGCTGGTATAGAAGAAGCATTTAATAAAAATTCAATACCCTTTCATGATCAAACCCTCAACAAAATAGGAACAGGAGGAAACTACCTCAACCTAATGAAAGCCATATGTGAAAAAGCCCACAGTGAAAATCATCCTTAACAGTTGGAAGACTGAAGACTTTTCCTCCAATATTAGGAACAGGGCAAGGATATCCTTTTTATTCACTATAGTAGTGGAAGTTTTTGCCTGAACAATGAGGCAAGAAAAGGGTATCCAAACTGGAAAGGAAGAAGTAAAATTACGTTTGTAGATGATATATTCTTGTATATAAAAAACCCA